CACACCTGTGCATTGCTGTCCTATATTCTGTACTAGTAATACGCTCCTGCAATGCTGTCAAAGGTGTGTCTAGTACTCTCAGTGCATCCACCCAAAATGCCGAGCATGCCCTTGCCTGTGCATTACCAGAACTGTTCAGAAAACAAGCAGAGGAAGACAGCCAAAGCCAGTGAATTTTGATCTGACCAGGGACACGCCTTGCTCAGTGGAAATCCCGCTATACAGTATTTCTGAAGGATTCCTGGAAAGAACATCAAGAAAAAGACGCACAGTCTTGTTAACCAAAACAATATATTGTGCATCGACTTCTTAGTTCTTTAAAACAAAAAGATTCCTACATAAAAACGAGTCCAATGCAAACCCAATCACACATTCTGAACTAGGGGCCTGTTGTTGCGCAAAAGAATTTCTATCCTGAGCGCTTCCAGATGTGTTCCCAAAGGAGCAGTAAGTCTGTTTTCCAATAGTTTTATCCATCAACAAAATTGTGTCATACGGAAACCTGGCTTTCCAGAGTTTTTTCCAGAGTTTCCTATGAAATGTATGGTGTACCAAGTATTGAGGTCTCTGTGTTCATTTGGGTAATAATTTTATTGAGGGGACATAACATATTATCTTCAAAGAACAACAAACTAGCTACTTGCTCATGTACATGTTTGCAAATGAACCATATGTCCTAATAGTCCTTAATACTATCCTTAATAGTATGGTTGTTTTAACTGTAACTGAGGGAAATGTATTTGAGTTTTGCATATTTAACAAAATAATTAAGTAGAAATGATTCATCGAACTCTAACTGGCCATGTTAAATGTACTTGTTTCCTTTGCTAATTTGACCTAACTTAGTTAAGTAGATTTTACTTAATTCAATACTTACATTTTACTTAAAATGTATGTGTGCAAAAACTTGCAAAATAAAAATGAAGTAAATCTACTTATTGTTTTTTTTTTTGAGTGTAGCTCTTATACAACTCAATTTCAAACAACAAAGAAGAATTTCATTTTTGTAATTCCAGCCCATCAATGTATCCAGGCCATCCATTATCATTTGCTTTCTGCATATTAAACGTTTGCTAAAGTGAAAAAAATTATCTTACAAATATACAAACAAATAAATATATCTGACAGATTAAAGCACATTAGTACCTTTAAATACATTTGATTTTTTTTAAAGCAATTTAGTGGAACATAAAAAATTTAAAGTGAATTTAATCAAATAAAAATTACAAAATGACTAAAAACTGTTTACCTGATCCCATGGTGTGAGACACCCAGACCATCATCAGCCAGATGCTCATCTTTCAAGTCTGATGATCACAACAGAATCTAACCATCATCTGATTAGTTCAGCAATACTCTGTAGTCAGTGACTACACAAAACACAGGATACTCAAACCAAACCTATGGTCCTATAATGCACTTGTTTTAATATCTGTTGGATTTTAAAGCCCTTTTTTATTATTTTTATTCCTAATCACTCAATCAATGAAAGATTCTTAGGCTAGATTTGCTCTTTGCTCTCTCTCTCTCTTTTTTTTTTTTTTTAATAACTTTCATATTTTATGCCTTTTAAAATAATCTAAACATATGTACTGGTAAAGCTAGCAAATAGCCTTTAATCGGCTCAAAACAACACACTTTTAAGATTTAAGATTTATACATCTTGATAAAAAAGTATAATAATAATAATAAGTAAATCATACAAAGCTCAAAAATAGCCTTTAATCAGCACTAAAACAACAAAATTCCTTGAGGCAACTCAGCAGTTATGCTACTTCATGCTACATTTATTTATCTTTCACATTGTATGCCTCTTAAAAAATAAAATAAAATAAAAATACAAAGCTCAAATATACCCTAAAACTCAGCTCTAAAACAACAACACTCCTTGAGTTATGCTACTTTTTGCAGATAAAATCAGTGTAACAAACTAATTTCCTCAGTGAGCATTGGATCAGTTAATAATATGATATGAAAACATAATTTAAATGCATTATGATTTCTAATGCCATTTAATTTTATTGAAATCAAAGAATAACTGTGCATCGCTTTTTGACTGGGGCACGAGCTCTAGATTTTTCTAGGAATTCTGCTTCTTCAACAGAAAAAAATTGTTGATAAGGTGGTAAAAATATTTTTTTAGTTGTTTTGGCTCATTTTAATGCTTGTTCCGTCTTATTTTAAGTCATATTGAGGCCCTGCTAGAAGTTTGCTGAGGCCCCTAGTGGGCCCCAGGCCTCTGACTGGGAACTGAAATATGGAGCCTGTGCTCCAGTACTGATGAAAGGATAGAAATGGATACAAGGAGAGTCATGACTCTGTGACGTCAGTAGTTATGAGAAATAAAGGCAGGGTAGACGTAGATTTAGTTTCGCACAGGTTTGAACAGGATAGGGGTTTGTGACATTGGCATCAGAATAGGCAGAGTAAATACATAATCAATCAGTCATGTTTCAACCCTTGTTGAGATGACAGGGAACTAATCCTTATGTGCTCAGGTTTCCTGCTTCTCTAGATACTTCTTTATTTGAAAAGTAACAGGTTGGAAGGCACACTGATATTATTTCTCAAAGTTATGTTGCTAGTGACCACAGTTGGTTCAGGTGGTTTGAAAAAATATATTAACCAATTAAATTTTTTTCCCCATAGCATTTTTACTATAGGCTAGTACTATAATTTTGGCAAAATAAAAATTATTTCGCACAGGTTTGAACAGGATAGGGGTTTGTGACATTGGCATCAGAATAGGCAGAGTAAATACATAATCAATCAGTCATGTTTCAACCCTTGTTGAGATGACAGGGAACTAATCCTTATGTGCTCAGGTTTCCTGCTTCTCTAGATACTTCTTTATTTGAAAAGTAACAGGTTGGAAGGCACACTGATATTATTTCTCAAAGTTATGTTGCTAGTGACCACAGTTGGACAGGTGGTTTGAAAAAATATATTAACCAATTAAATTTTTTTCCCCATAGCATTTTTACTATAGGCTAGTACTATAATTTTGGCAAAATAAAAATTCAAAAATCAATTTTAAAATAATTAACTACATATTCCAATGGTCTCTCTCTCACTCTGTTTAGTTATCCAAAAGAGTGCGGCATTCACTGAAGCACCTTTGTAGATGATGACACACTCATGAGCAAATGCTTGATGCTGAAACTCTGAGGCATGCGTAATTTATGCATCACAACCATACAAGTGTGAACACGAGTCTGTATGTACAAAGCCCATTTGCTCTCTTTGTAAGTATGTAACATGTTCAGTAGACTGCAAGTAAAACAGGCAGCCTGCAAATGGCAGCATGTCATAAAAAAAACTCTGTGGTATGTGAAGAATTTCAGCTCACTGCAAATCTGAAGTGAGAAATACTGCTGTTTGAGCATACACCCAAACTAAATGACAATGTGTAGCAAGAAAAAGAAAAATTGTGACCTTCTACAATATACTTTAAGATGGCGCTAAAGCATGATGCTTTCAAGTTGACACAGAAACAAACCAGAATCAGCATGCACTAAAGAACCTGACAAAAACACTTCATAAGACAGACACAAAGGGCCATTGTATTACCGTGTGAAAAAGAAGTGTGCTTAATTGTATTGAATGTGCTATTGTAGTGTACTTCAAATCTTAAAAGCATACATTTAAAAAAATGTACCTGCAGAAAATGAAATAAAAGGCTACTTAAGTGCACTTATTTTCATGGCTCATGTTTCTTAACACACTTTTAAAAAGTGTACTTAGTAATAATGTCAAATTAAAAATATATATTTAAAGGACATTTTGTAGTATGCTTATTTTGATGTGCTGACTAACATACTAAAGCACATCTAAAGTACTTGATTATCATTTTAATGGTAGTGTGTAATTCAATATTACATTTAAATAAAAAAAATTTTTAAATGAACTAAATTGCAATGTGTGAATACAAAAAAATATTTAAATACATGACATACAAGTTTCAGCAGAAATGACATTAAAGTATTCTTTAGTTATACCATAAATGCTTGTCAGTATTTGGCGGGACACTTTAACCATTCATTCATAATTCATTTGAATTAAACTGCAATTAAGTACTTCTTTTTCAAAAGGGTTCATATGTGCATCAGTCTCTGTGTGTGCACATATGGCAAAGCGAAAAAAGTCTCTGTACTTCTGAAATATTCATATGATTAGTGTGTGTGTGTGTAATTCTGAGTCAGTTATACAAAGCCCACTAGGTATCAATTACCATTTTTGAACTTGCACAAGAGGGTGGTGCAACAGTTTGAAGATGAGGACAGACTGACTAATTCAGTGCTCAGTTTATGTGTACATCTGCATGATTACACACACCTGTGCATTGCTGTCCTATATTCTGTACTAGTAATACGCTCCTGCAATGCTGTCAAAGGTGTGTCTAGTACTCTCAGTGCATCCACCCAAAATGCCGAGCATGCCCTTGCCTGTGCATTACCAGAACTGTTCAGAAAACAAGCAGAGGAAGACAGCCAAAGCCACTGAATTTTGATCTGACCAGGGACACGCCTTGCTCAGTGGAAATCCCGCTATACAGTATTTCTGAAGGATTCCTGGAAAGAACATCATGAAAAAGACGCACAGTCTTGTTAACCAAAACAATATATTGTGCATCGACTTCTTAGTTCTTTAAAACAAAAAGATTCCTACATAAAAACGAGTCCAATGCAAACCCAATCACACATTCTGAACTAGGGGCCTGTTGTTGCGCAAAAGAATTTCTATCCTGAGCGCTTCCAGATGTGTTCCCAAAGGAGCAGTAAGTCTGTTTTCCAATAGTTTTATCCATCAACAAAATTGTGTCATACGGAAACCTGGCTTTCCAGAGTTTTTTCCAGAGTTTCCTATGAAACCCGACCGTCTCCGCCCCGTTAGGTTCACTGTCCTATAAAGAATCAAATTACAGGAGACATTTTTCCCATAGCAGTCACTGACACGGAAGGTGGGTTTAGTTTTTTTTTTTTTTTTTTCCCGAGTGGGAGGATTCAGGATGTCAGCCAAGATGTGGCAGAAGCGATGGGACGCTGAGAGTGTAAAGTACCGAGCACTGCACGACGGGAACAGCAAAGTTTGTCTAGAGCCAAGAAAATAAAACAAATCACGTGAAATGGCATCCCAGGTAATGTGGTTTACGTTATATATATTATATA